TTTTAAAGGTGCTGTATGTAAGTTTTTGACTCTACTAAAGCATAAAAATACCATAATATGTTTGCAGATATTTAAGAAACATGCTAAGTTAACATACTTGTTTATCTGAAAAACAATGCTATAGTCAGTTATTCTCCTTTGAAAATGTGCGTTCCGGGCCGGATTATTGGTCTCTGTTTTGGTTTGTGAAACCTGCCCACTGCCAGTTTACCCAATTGTATTTCGGCACCCCGGGTTGCCAGTTGGCGGAAAACACAGCCTATTTAATTTAATTCATCGTCAAGTGCGCTCGTTCCTGTTAGTGTCTTCAATCTGGCAACCTGCGTGTGTGTCAAGTCTGAAGAGGAGGGGCCGGGTGAAAAAAACCCTCTCCAATATTTTGAATTTGGACTGTAATACCTAGTTCAACCACTCAGTGTCAATCCTACATACAGCACCTTTAATTTATAGCATTAACAAGATGACCCGTTTAATTCATTTTGGGAGCGATGACTGATTGAATGTATTTTTTAGTCCAGTGCCTGTATATAAGATTAGTATTGACCAAGTTCAGAGGCTGTGATATGCGGATTAACCATGTTGTGTATTTTCAACAGTTTCAATATGAAAAATAACTTTTATATTGATTCAATGGATTTATTGCATTTTGGGGAAAAAATAATACATTTTTATAATAAATCTTTGAAAATCAAAATCTGGATTTGAATTTTTAATGTTATTATAACCTAAAGATGCTATGTGAAAGTTTGAAACAGAAAATAGTGGTTTCCATTAGGGGTGGGGGAGAAAAATCGATACAGCATAGTATCGCGATATTTTCCCGCGGCAATACTGTATCGATACACGGACGCCACGTATCAATCTTTTATTATACTATTTGGTAGAATAATAAAATAAATTTCTTTACAATCTACTAGATTGTGGTGTTGAGTTTTTTTCTGGTGAGGTCAGCTGGGTCACCTTCAACATGCAGTAAGTTAGTAAAATAAAGAGGGTGGCATCGCGGAAAGTTATCAGGAAAGCCCCGTCCGCGTTTAAATCCGATGTATGGACTTAATTTTGGATTTGTAAACAAGGAGGGGATGTAAGTAGGGATGCACCGAAAATATAGGCTACATATAATAATAATAATAATTATTATATATATGGCGCGCCGCGTCCCGCCCGGCAGTGTTCAGCGCACATGTTTCACGCTCCTTGTCACTGCGCGGTTTGACGCTCCGCTTAAAGGGATAGTTCACCCAAAAATGAAAATTCTGTCATCATTTACTCACCCTCATGTCGTTCCAAACCTGTATGAGTTGCTTTCTTATGTTGAAAACAAAAAAAGATATTTTGAAGATTGCTGGTAATCAAACAGTTGGTGGTTGCCATTGACTTCCATTGTATTTCTTTTCCTATGGAAGTCAATGGCAACCACCAACTGTTTGATTACCAGCAATCTTCAAAATATCTTCTTTTGTGTTCAACAAATTAATTCAATACATAAATAAATAAATTCAAATTAACAGCATTTATAATTTTACAAATTAAATTATAAATGCCACTTTTTATCAATTTAATGCATCCTTGCTAAATAAAACAGTTATTCACTGTTAGTTCATGTTAATTCAGAGTGCATTAACTGTTAACAAGCACAGCTGTTGATTTTAATAATGCATTAGTAAATGTTGAAATTAACATGAACTAAGATTAATAAATGCTGAAGAACTATTTTTCATTCTTAGTTCATTATCTAAAGTAGGTAACTAATGTTAACTAATGAACCTTATTTTAAAGTGTTACCAATACTCGTGACACAAGTACCGTGATAATATCGTACCGTGAGGCCTCTGGTGATTCCCACCCCTAGTTTCCATCTTGCCATTTTCTTGGTAAAGAAAACACTTTTTTACTCAAATTAATCAAAATGGATTTATAGCGTTTTGGAACCAAACTCTTCATATATATCTCACACTCCATTAAACTTAGTCTGATCACATTAATGGCGTAAACGCAGATTATTCAGCACACGAAAAACTGCGTAAAACAAACATCAAGGAAACATTTATTAAGCACAGTGTTGGGGAGTAACTTGTTACATGTAACGGAGTTACGTAATTTAATTACAAAGTAAATGTAACTGTAATCTGTTACAGTTACTGAGAAAAAATGTGTAATTAAATTACAGTTACTAATGAAAATGTTAACAAATACAAAGGGGGTTACAGCTGAATATTTTCACACACACCCATTGCATAGACTTCCATTGATTTTATATCAGATTAATGA